TTCCTGCTGCTGTATGTGAGATGAGTGAAAGGGAGAAACTGAGGGAGGAGAGACGTTTTGAAGAGAATCCCAGTGTGAGGGGTTAAGCAGAGGCTGATGTGTTGTAAGAGTGAGTTCGGAACTGGGTGAGAAGTGCATATTAACCACAAAATGAAAGAGTTAATGAATAAGGAAGAGCGAGGTAAAGTCCCTAAGAGACCTTACAGTCCTTATCCTCTGCATGGTTACCTCCTTTGCAACATCTTCTGATATTCTGCCCTCATTAGGAATCCCCTACAGATGGCTTGAGTTCTTGTTATAATCTGGGCCAACTTTTCGTCTCTCATTTCTTCCAGAAGACCCAGAAGGCCAGCTTTGAAGAAAACCTGGAGAGAGGGAAAGTTACAAATCATCCCCAGACTACAGGAGATACAGCTATGGCAGAGGACTTGGATCAGGTGTAAGTAACAGCCATACCTTTGTATGTCCAAATTTGTACTGGGTGTGATCAATATCAATAGAGGCAAGAAGTTTCTCAGAAGCCTTCTTGCTGTCAATGAACTGTCCATCTGGAATAGCACTTGCATTTAAAACTTTGTACCTGTTCAGTCGAAGAAAGAAAGAATCATTAGGAAGGGGTGACCATATATGAAAACCAAATGACACCAAAAAAAGGTCAGTAAAAAGAGAAAAAGCAAAAGTAGAAAATCCAACTGTCCTTTTAGGTTCAGATAGTAAAACAATATGATTTTTCCACAAGCTAATGCATGCTTCCGTCCTATTTTTAAGAAATGCCACCGTCTCTAGCCAGTATTCTGTCCTAGCACCACAAGACTATATTATTTGACTAAATTTCATCGTATTGACGAAGCAGGATACATAAAAACAATGAACAGAGGGCAACAGTGAAGATGATTAATTAGTCACAGCATTCAGTGAAATATGACAGAGGGAGACTGGCCTTTGTTTAAAATCCCCATATAAGATTCTGCTTGGGAACCCCTTCCTGCAGATGCGGATGCCCTCCAGCACACCGTTACACCTCAGCTGGTGCAGGACAAGCTCATGATCCATGGCGCCTAAAAATAAATCAGAGTACTTACTACTGGGCACTGAACTTTCAGACTTGTGCCTGTGTGATTATTTCACGCTCTTAGATCTTACCAGGAGTTTTGGTTTCGTTGGGAATGATGCACCGTACGAAGTGAGGGTGTGTGCTCCTCAGGTTGGTCATCAGCTTACTTAAATTTTCCTAGAAAACCAGGAAGAAGGGACTTGATGAGAAAGTTCTATTTCAGATTGCTTTTTTTGGTAATTGTGTGGAACGAACCTAGGCACTTTCCTAATAACTATATTAGGTAAAAGTCTATGAGGCTTCAGTTGCTCTGTGTTTTAAAGGTCTCAAGAGTTCTAGCCTGCCAAAAAACCGAAAGGCTAAAGTACTGGGAAGAAATGCAGCTCTCCCTGGTATTCATTTATGACACCTAGGATCTATCCTGTAAACAGACTGCAAATTCAGTAGCCTTGACACACAGGAAGTGTTCTTGACCGGGAATCAGAAGACAAAGGACTACAGTCTCGCTTGGCCACTAATGAGCTGCTTGACTCTGTAAAATCCCTTTTCTCTTTCTGGGCCTCATCTGAAAATAGTTGAGATTACCTCTAAGGCCTCTTTCATCTCTCTCTGCTAATATTTTTCATAGTAGTAGTTTACAGTGGTAACCTAGGTTAGCCACTGTCCCCGGTGTTTGCCATTCCTTCCTTGAATGTATTACTCCCTGGGACCTGTAACCTCTTGTTTTTTGGTTTGTTTGTTTTTTTGGAAGAGTCTAAAATCATAAGACTGTATGACCTTTTGTGAGTGGATCTTGAATACCTGAGAATGATCACAGTCTGAAGCGTATGGGGGGAGTTATTCCAGAAATAGAGTAACTGACTATGACAGACAGTGGTGTTTTACTCCACCACAGAAAACTAGCAAGTAGCTATTTCTCAGTCTTCCTTAGGTATATTCGTTGAGAAGGCAGAGTTGCTTTAATTTTCATATGTCAGTTAACTATTAGGAAATAAACAAAATAAGTAATGTGAGTTTCTAATCTTGCAATTATGTCCAAGGATGAGTTGATGTGAGTTTCTAATCTTGCAATTATGTCCAAGGATAAGTTGATGAAACATGGGCATATTTGGTGAAATAATGCAAATTGGTAGTGAGAAAAAAAGAACAGGGCTGTTTTCTTGTTTAGGTCATACATAGTATCTGCATTTTAGTTTTAAAAAGAACGAGACTTAGCCACAGAAATCCTGACAAAGCAGCCATTAGACCAGGTGCTCCATGTGTCCCCCTGTGGAAGAGCCGGCTGTTAAGCCACATCTAAGAGAATCACGTTATTTGCAGTAATGTTATTATTACTGTTACTCTTAAGAGAGATTTTTCTATCTTAATCATCCATCTAAATCACTAGGTTTGGCTTTAGATAATTTTCAGCTATTACAAAAAATTAAATCCACCTCGGAGGACAAAGATGTGATTTGGTGGAAGCATGTCCTGAAGGGTGTGTCTCGGGCTCAATTCTCAAAGGGGAACTCAGGAACATTCTCAAAGGGCAACATTGGTGGCTTTCCACAGGGAGACCTTTGAAGTTCAGCTGTGCTTCCTTAAAAATAGGCCTTACTATATAACGAGAAAGCTTCTGAGGGCATTTTGGAATTCCTGAATACATTAGATGAGCATAGTAAGGAATAAGAGGTAAAAACAAAAGCCCTACAGGAGGAGTATTGCTTTGGCTGTACCCTGACAAGAAGGAATATTTGAAGTAATTCCTATTAACATTCCATTCCCTCCTAATTTATTCTAAATCCTTTATTCTTATCCTAATTATGATAAGTCATAGGAACTGAATAGATTTTTCAAATTAAATTTCTACTTTACCCTGAAAAGGGCTGACACAGTCTGGAAAGAAGAGCCCTTCTTCTTAGCACCTTTCTTTGCGCCGCTGTCTAAGATAAAAAGAAAACCCATCAACGAAAGTAGAATCCCAGAGGCTGGAATGGCATGTGAACATTCTGTGGGGATAGGTTAATCGAGATCAGGGGCTCAGAAGGTACCGGCTTCAGCACTAGCGTATGTGGAGAAGAGACTGGCCAGGGTCTTCATTGCGGACTTCTGGTACAGCCCAACCACGGTGTCGTTCAGGGGGTCCTTGTTCTTGTCCAGCCAGCCGGCAATGTTGTAGTCCACGGTGCCCGCGTAGTGGATCAGCGAGAAGTGGGCCTCGGCCCTGCCCTTGACCACTTTGGGCTTCTGGAAGTTGGCAGACTTGCCCAGGTGCTGGTCATACAGCTTGTTCTTGAAGGAGGTGTCTGAGGCCTTGGGGAACATGCACTCCTCTTCCAGGATGGAGAAGATGCCCAGTGGCTGAATTCAGAAAAGTAGACATTGGTGTCAACCTATCTTGTCTCAAAAGATATAGACACAGTGGCTGTCATTTAATTGAATTATGAGCACTCCTAATTAAATACATTTATAAAGTAAACCAGGGTCATAGCTCAAAGGGGTCCTTTTCTTATCACTAGAATGACTTTTCCACCATTCTTTCTCACATTCAATCCATAGCACTATTTTCAATTAAAAGAATAGCTGGATATAAACTCCAAATGTCAGCACTGCATAAGTGGGGGCGACTTATTAAAATGTTCTGTGATTACCACATTTTCCCGTTTGGTGAATTAATCTATTGTCAGAGTTTTGTTTTTCTATGAAAAGGACTTACTGACTTAGAATGATATTTACTTTATATGCAATAACTTAACGGTATAAATAATGCAAACCTTATTTAAGACATTTTGTACATTTAATCCCTTAAAGATAGATTATGAAGAAGCATAGCAATTTGACTCTTGACTTCCAAACAGATTACCTTTGATATAAGCCCTAGCTGTGTTACCTGTGCATTAATTTTGATCTAGAAAATAGTTATTTCTATTGTTGACATCTTGGATCATAGTGGAGATAGATTTAGAACAAATGAGATAGTTCTTTTAGTGAAGCAGACCATCTCAATAGAGATGCTGCTTTAAACTTGGATCTGAGTCGGTGTTAGAACAGAACTTGTTACGACGAAATGAAGCTAAACACTCTCTGATTCTTCTTACGTAAAAGTTGAAGAGAGAAAGTCATTTCTAAAGGAATTTTCTAACTTGTTCTGATATCAGTCTAGTTAAGATTACAGTAATACATTCTGGAGTTGCTTCAGGCACTTGGGAAAGTTATCCTTTCAGTTCGGGTTTCCTTTAGAAGTCAAGCGGACCTTCTCGATGAGCTCGATGCAGGCGGCCAGGTCCATCCCGAAGTCGATGAACTCCCACTCGATGCCCTCCTTCTTGTACTCCTCCTGCTCCAGCACGAACATGTGGTGGTTGAAGAACTGCTGCAGCTTCTCGTTGGTGAAGTTGATGCACAGCTGTTCCAGGCTGTTGTACTGCACAAAACCAAATTTCCGACATTAAGTGGATTTTTATAGCAGTAGAATTCATTACTGAAAAATCTTTTATTGAAAATATGTGGAATACAGTAATGAAATAAAGTTTAAACTGATTGTTGTCTCTTCAGAAATCCCAGGGGAAAAAATGATCATTTTGGACATGAACCCTTTTCATGATTTCTGAGCATTATTTAAAGGCACAGCTGTCAATCACACAGCAAGGGTTCTGGTAGAATCTACCTCTTTCCACCTCTGAAGATGGCATGGGCAAAAATGTGCATTAAAAGTATAACCATGATCCTGTGAGTTATGGTTCAGATTTAAGGGTGAAAGTAATTCATTGCAAAGCCTCACTTCTTTTACCACCACCACCCCCAATTCAAGATAAAGGTCGCATTTTCACTTTTGGTGTCACATTATTAAGGAAAGCTTTTCTTAAGACCTTTAGTTGATGTGCAGAGTGAAATTAATAGGCTAATTGCTCTTCTATTCATACCACACATTTGGTAAATCCTCATTGTCAGGTCTGTGAAAAGGGGGACCTGATGTGGTATAGAAATTGAAGATCTGATGGAGTCTTTTTTTTTTAAATTAATTTATTTAATTTATTTTTGGCTGTGTTGGGTCTTCATTGCTGCCCACGGGCCCTCTCCAGCTGCGGAGAGCAGGGGCCACTCTTCATTGTGGTGCGCGGGCCTCCCACCACTGTGGCCTCTCTTGCTGCAGAGCACGGGCTCCAGGTGTGCGGGCTTCAGCAGTTGCAGCATGTGGGCTCAGCAGTTGTGGCTCACGGGCTCCAGAGCACAGGCTCAGCAGCCGTGGCGCACGAGCCTAGCCGCTCGCGGCATGTGGGATCTTCCAGAACCAGGCGTTGAACCCGTGTCCCCTGCATTGGCAGGCGGACTCTCAACCACTGCGCCACCAGGGAAGCCCCCGATGGAGTCTTTATAATAATTGACACCCTCATTTTATAGATGATAAAGCTGATGGCCCAGAGGGGAAATGGTGTGTGTCAGATGGATCTGGAAGAGGGAAGACTATGAACTGTCACTGCGCTTCTACCTCTAGAGGCCGTTTCTCCTCCACGGGAGGTGCCTTGTGTATGGACCAAATGTTGCATAGCCAGGTTCCTGTCGTGCCTTTGCCTTGTATGGCTGGAGGATCTTTAGCAAGTGTTTTGATTTTCTTGCATCTGTTTCTCCACATGTAATTAGAAGTAATATTAGTTACTCCTTCATGGGTCGTTGTGAAGATTAAATGAGGTAACATTATGAAGTGCTTAGTAGAGTGCCAGAAATACAGGCTTCGTGATAAATGTTAGCTGTTATTATTACTTCTGTTATTATCTAGTTACCTCCTAGCTATTTCGTCCTAGATGCCATGCTGGAGAAAGCAATGTAGACACTACAAGTGTAAATGAATAATAATACTCAGTATATCAAAACCCAAATTGCCTTTCTCCCACTTTTTATTAATATGAAGATAAACTCACGTCAAAGATCTCAAAGCCAGCGATGTCCAAGACCCCGATGAAGTGCTGCCTGGGCTGCTTGGTGTCCAGCTGCTGGTTGATGCGGGTGACCATCCACAGGAACATCTTCTCGTAGACGGCTTTGGCCAGAGCGCCCACTGCATTGTACACCTTCATGGACAGAGTAATGTTTGTTGGCACTATGAAAGGCCTGGGATGTGTGTGGTTCATTGAGGTTGTGCACTTACCTGCTGCACAGTCTGGCCTTTGGTGACGTATTCATTGCCGACCTTGACCCTGGGGTAGCAAAGGGCTTTGAGTAGATCAGCAGAGTTCAGACTCTGGAGATAGGCAGCTTTGTCAGCAACTGCAGAGACACAATTCAAGGAATGTTGTTTAACAGCAGATACTTCTTCAAAATAGTCTTTCCATTTTCCTCCATCCATTTTCATTATTATTTAAATAGAAAGCTTTAAATAATTCTAGAGAAGATCAGGTGAGGCTCTCTCTATATTAGAGCATATACTTGCTAATAAATGGTCAGTCAGTTACACTGGCCTTTGGTGATTTGTTGCAAGCAACTCCTGAGAAATTTAACAACAATAAAAATATGTCCAGTGTTTATGGAAATAATTTATGTAACACAAAAGCCAGAGTCCCTGCTCTTAAGACACAGTAGGTGGGGGTGGAAGGTAAGATAAATACACCTTATCTCAACTTAGCTCCTTCCAATTTAACCTCAACGAATTAGTTTCTTTATCTGAAAATGTGAGGATTAAATTTTAGTGCATGATTCCTACAGAGTCCCCTTCTAAAATTTTGTCAATGACTATGATGTAAATGCGGGAGAGAGAATGTCGAGCCAGGGTGGTCAGGAAAGGCTTAAAGGAGCAGATAACTTTAGCTTCCGTGGTAGATCCTGTAAGTTCCATGTTCTTTCCATACATAGAGTATATGATTTTTCTTTCTCAGTTTCTTTTTTATCTTGTTGCCTAGATTGTCTGAGGGTTAAATGTAGACAATGTGTACACACATGTGCACAGATGTCCTCCAACCCCAGCTCTGTGTTTGGGCAAGACACTGTATCCCTCCACTAGGTTTGCCCAGCTGGTGCTGAAATAGACCAATATGCCAAGTTATCCTATATACCTTCTCGCCATTGCTAAGGCAAAGCAAGCTCACGGTTCTGTCTCATTCCCTCTCTAATGATCTGGCCCCAGGTTGTGCTTTTTAGATATATCCTTACAAGTGGCTATTAGGGTTCATTTGGGCTGCATAGAAAGATGGAGATACGGAGATGTGAGGAGGGAAAGGGGGTGAGGAAAGCATGCAGTGTGTGTAAATGTGTACATGCCCCTCAGAAGTCCAGCTACAAAGGAAATGTGAGTTTAGAATAACCTGTTTTTTTTTTGCCGTATTCTCTAATTTAAACCCAGATGGAGGTTCATTTGGTACCTTCGGTGCCATCTGGCTCCGCTTGCTCCTCACGCTGCTTTTGCTTGAATTTCATGTTCCCATAATGCATTACTGCCCCTGTGAGCTTGTAGATGGACACTTTCTCCTCGGGAGTAAAGCCCAGGATGTCAATGGCTCTCTGCCAGGAGAAATGACAGGACAAAGTTAGGGCAGAAGAGACTAACATATTTTGGAGAATTTACACTATATTCTAAGGTAACCACACTTATGGTGTGGTTGCTATTGTCATTTCCATACATAATGGATTTTTTTTTTTTTCGGTATGCGGGCCTCTCACTGTTGTGGCCTCTCCCGTTGTGGAGCACAGGCTCCGGACGCGCAGGCTCAGCGGCCATGGCTCATGGGCTCAGCCGCTCCGCAGCAATGTGGGATCTTCCCAGACCGGGGCACGAACCCGCGTCCCCTGCATCGGCAGGCGGACTCTCAACCACTGTGCCACCAGGGAAGCCCCATAATGGATTTTTAAAAAGTGAGTGTGTGTCTTACATCAGTGGCCATCAGCTCTTCTTGGTCATCAATGCTAGGGACTGTGATCTCCCCTTGACTGACGAAGGCATAGTCATACGGGTTGGTGGTGATCAGGAGCATGTCTGGGTGCATAGAATTCAGGGTGTATAGTTTACATTAGAAGTTGTTAACAAAAATATTAACTTTTGTCTGTGAATTTAAGTTCATCCTTACCAATCAGATCTGGTTTCTTATTGGAAGTTATCTGATAAAAAATATGGTAGCTTCTTTCTGCCTTTAACTGGAAAGTAACTCTAGACTTTTCTAGAAGATCTGGAAAGAGAGGGAGATAGACATTGAATTAGAAAAAAATATCAATGCTGCTGATATTAAATGAACTTCAGTGTCTTTGGCTAAAATTAGGGCCTAAATTACGTTAGGCTCCATTGAGATTTCAACGTGATGATCGATCCTGTTGGTACTACATGTAAGAATTCCAAATACGTATGGCAGTTACCCAAGGTTCTCACCATCTAAGAGCAGAGAGTGAAGTATGCATGCTCTAGTAAAAATCAACTTTGCATATGGATGCTGTGACCTCTGTATTGTAATTGATCCTTAATATCCCCTCCTTCCTCAGATCACCTTAGATTCTTTGGTGAGGGACTACCTTGGAAACACCTACCAAAGCTCAGATCAAGAGCAAATCACAGAAATGTATTGTAAGCCTGTAGATAACTCATAGGAGTCCATAGATAGTCCTACTGTTTTCCCTGGAGAAAATGTCATAGTTGCTTCTGCAGCAGGGATTGCAGAATGTGTTAAGCCATCAGTCTGAGACTGAGGTAAATAGAGCACACAGCGATTATGGATAAGTCTGGCATTAGCTCACGGGCAACACTGCCAGCAGGCTCAGTGCTCAACAAGTGTTGCAAAATATCCCTGCAAATGACATCGCTTGTTTCTCTGTTTGATTTTCAATGGTCCTGTTACTCACATGTTTCAATATCAGCAGAAGCCAGTTTCCCTGTGGTACCAAAGTGGATCCTGATGAATTTACCCTTGCAAGTGAAAAAGATGATGTTATGTACAAAACTGTTAGCACACGAGTAAGAAGAGATTGAGTTAATAACTCAGACATGCCTTTTGGGGCATTTAAGGCCTGAGAAAACCCTTCTGTGACCCAGAGACTCACAAAGCGAGAGGAGTTGTCGTTCCTCACGGTCTTGGCGTTGCCAAAGGCCTCGAGCAGGGGGTTGGCACTGATGATTTGATCTTCCAGAGTCCCCTGCAAAGGCAAGAGCAGTCCTCACACGTGGGGCTCGGGAGTTTCTTACTTGACAGCGTGCATCCTGACGTGGCAATCAGACCCACCTGCATTTTGCCACCAGTGCCTTCATCCTTCCTCTTCTCCCCAGTGACCGCAATTGTTGCAAAGTACTGGATGACGCGCTTCGTGTTCACAGTCTTCCCAGCCCCCGATTCTCCGCTGTCAAGCAGAAACCAGAGTAGAGATCAGAACTACAGCTCACATTGTCGACATCTAAGACAATCACCGCAAACCAGAGAAGAAAAAAATCACATACGTGATCAGGATGGACTGGTTCTCACGATCTGTAAAAAAGAAATCAAGACCATCAGTTTTTAAAAATAGTACACATTCAATGCAAAGATTATTGACTCTGTAAAGATTAATCCGTTTATCCTTTTTAACATTTTGAAGATGTTGCCTGTGATCTTGGTTTTGTGTGTAGCTCCCAGATAGTACCTGCCTCTTGGATTAAAATTTGTGAAAATAAGAGGCAAAGAATCATGTGTTTCTTCTTAAAATATTATTAATTTTAAAACTTATGTGAAGTTTCAAACATATACAGAGGTAGAGGCAATAACATATAAAGAGCTCCTATGTACCCATCATACATACAGTTTCAACAGTTATTATTTGGCCAACTTTGTATAACCTGTACTCCCATCCTAAACTCACTTGGTTATTTTAAAGAAAATTCCAGGCATCATATAATTTCATCTGTAACTACTTCAGTAAGAATCCTACAATTCTGAAGTTTCATTGAACAGATGAAGAAACAAACCCAGAGAGAAATAAGTGACTTTTCTAATAGTTACATAGCTTATCAACATGTTTAGGTCTGTTTGACTTCCAGCTTATATATTTTTCTGCTACCTGGCCTCCTCCCGGTTTTTCATATTAATTTGACAGCTGGTAATACTAAAAAAGGAAGGGGTCTGGAATTGTAAATGTTGGTGTTCATTTACTTATTTTCCTTTTTATTTTATACACATTTCTAAGCAATGAAAACAAAAATTGTCACTAGTTATATGACTGATATGTTGGATATATACCAATTTTCTGATTTGTTAAATCTTTAATTCTATACTGATATAGATTTTAGAGCATTCTCAAATCTAAAAATATCTATTCAGAGAAATAGATGCTAATTTGGGTGCTGTTTAGATGTAGATGTAGACTTTAGAGAACTGCAAAGCTCTATTCAGGGAAGTAGAGACAGATTTTGGAACATACTCAGATTGATTTCTTTTTCCAATAGAAGAAAAATCAAGAAAGATCATATCACATCTAGTGGGAGCATAGATAAGAAAACAGTGTTCTAGTCTCTAACCTGGTCAAATGCCACAGTTTTGGGTGTTTTTTTTTTTAACAAAAATCATGTTTGGAGATAAGTAATCTTGAATTTGGAGCAGGCCCAAAACTTGGGGGAGTGGGGACCTCTGTAGGGGTGGTGGTGTACATAGCAGTATAAATTCAACTGCTAAGTGTTAAAACCTCTGGAATGAGCCCACATTTGGATAATTTCTGGAAGGTAGCTAGCTTCTGCTGACAACCAAAGAACAGTTTCCTGGTATGATATCCTTGTAGAACTGCTGGCCAATTTGTAATGGAAGATTTCTATTTTATCCCTTTCTCTTCCCTCTTCTCCTTTAAAAGACAATTTAAAAACAGTGTAAAAAAACAATCAAATAAAAAAACAAAAAGGAGCAAAATCCTCTCCAGTTTCTAATATCTCATGGAAGAACAGGAAACTCAGGAATTTAGAATATTTCCAAAGGCAATACACTTGGTGTGTGCCAATAAAAGGTTTTCATGCTGTATTTGGGCCTACATTTGGCATCAAAGCCATTTGTTTATGCTTTGATAAGACAGGAATAACAGACTTTGATATAATTTTTAAAAAGTATTTTTGGGACTTCCCTGGTGGTCCAGTAGTTAAGACTTTGGCTTCCAACGCAAGGGTTGCAGATTTGATCCCTGGTCAGGGAGCTAAGGTCCTATATGCCTCGCAGCCAAAAACCGAAACATAAAACAGAAGCAATATTGTGACAAATTCAATAAAGACTTAAAAAAAAATGGTCCACGTCAAAAAACAAAAAATCTTAAAAAAAAGTATTTTCAAAGAAAGAGAGATTTCTATTCTATTCTTGTAGGAAAATGCTTCAAAATCTTTGAGAGGAAAGTCATAGCTCTTTCTTTACTCCTGTTCTACCCCAAAGGCTAGTGATATTAGCTGTGTCTTTTAAAGACAAGGAATTCACAAAGCTTTCCCGCTGTGGCTGGTAACTGTTTTCCTTGATTGCTGTGGATGTGGATATCTTTAAAAAATCTACTTGAACTTTTTTTCTGTCCAAATCAGAAAGTAAAAAATGTGAGAAAGCAATAACAAATATGTTTACAGAGGTCTACTAATTATCTCAACGAGGCTTCTTGTTACCAGCTGGGTTAGCTTGGGTAGGTCAATGAATTCAGTGAGCTTCACTTTACTCATCTATAGAATGGCTGCAGGGAAGAAGATGTGATATTACAGCTCTGAAAGTTTCTTGAAAGCAGTGAAGCCCCAGGTGGCTGCAATGTTTTATTGTAATCAAAGCCCAAAGTCTGTTTGTTTGTTAAAGATTCTATTTCCACATTTCTGTAAATAGATGCATCACTCACTCACCAGTCAGCATGAACTGAAAGGCGTTGTCAGAGATGGAGAAGATGTGGGGCGGGGCCTCCTGGCGCTTTTTGCCTCGATAGGCAGCCACCACCTCAGGGTTGTACACCGGCAGCCACTTGTAGGGGTTGATGGTGACGCAGAAGAGGCCCGAGTAGGTCTGAGAAAATCAGAATATTCAACATGTGGGATTTGTTTTTACTTGGAGAGAGAGGTGGAATAAAGAGATGTTGAAAGGTGCTCACATAGATCATCCAGGCTGCGTAACGCTCTTTGAGGTTGTACAGCACTGCTGGCTCGTGCAGGTGGGTCATCATGACCATGTCCTCGATCTTGTCAAATTTGGGAGGGTTCATGGGGAAGACTTGGTCTTCTCTGACAGTTAGAGTCTGGCAAGTAAATTAAGAGGTAAGTTTGTATTAATGGTTGGAGGTAGGATTTATGTTTATCTGCTTTAATTATAAGACTACAGTTGTGGACACTTTCCATTATATTATTTGGTGTCCTTTAAATAAAGGCATGAAAATACATTCATCTTAGCATTTGATGGTAAGGAAATCTGTTTTCTCTGATGAGCTAGAATACATACTACTCTTTAAAAAATACTTTTTTCCTCCCACATTTCCTTGTCCCAGGTTTATTTATCAGTTTATATCATTTTACTTAAATGGGTTTAATTTTTCATTTTTCCTGGCCATTTATTACAAGAAACTTCAATTTGGGGGGAAGTAATGGGGATATTAATACATTGTTTATCTAAATAGATAGTAATTGTTTTGATAGGAGAAGCTAGTTTTTATTTCTCCCAAGTTTGGGGATTTAGACTGGGAAGTGAGGAATTGCAGGAAGATGCTGGAGGCCAAGCCTAGTGGCTTTAAAGTCCTTTGGGTAGTTGGGAAAGGGAGAAATGAGGTTACTGCTGAGAATTTCTTTTACCTCCCAAATCTGATGTCTGTTAATGGACCAGAAGGGTGTCTGTATTGGCAATAGGCTTAGAGATGCTGAGCAAGGAAGGCTTCAGCTTGAAGCGAGGAGGTGGAGGAATAGGGCGGGGAGTATTTTCTCCTTATGTTTTTACTTACTGCTCCACATTCTGTCTTTACAGTTACTTTCCCTCCTTCTTTGCTTTGTATGATGCTCTTCACATAGGATTCCTTGGGCTCCACCGCAAAGACTGATGATTTAGCATCGAAGGGCTTGTTTTGGGCTTCAATCCGCTCCTTTTCCGATTTTCGAAGGTAGGGAGCAGCTTCGCCAAAAACAGCCATCTCGGCGTCCAAACTCGCACTCATGGCTGCGATTTTTTTAGAGAGAATTTTGCCTTGGGGAAAAAATCAGGGAGAGGAGAAATAGAAACCGGAAGTTATACATGTGAGCTAGGATTTGAAATGAAAGAAATGTTGAGGCTCCATCGCCTGCCTGGGCTGTAACTGTTCTTCCAAGCTGTTGCTGACCAGTGGTTCTCATACAGTAACCCTAGCGCAGGGCTGCTTTGGAATGAGACTGTAGTCTGAGGCTTCACTTTCAGGCTTTGAAAATGTCCTTCCCAGATGGCATGTCTTGATCTTCAGCGCTAGGGCATCGACAACTGAGTGAGAACGGAATCCTTGCATGTTTTATTCTCTAGACTGTAACAATATCTATAGCTAAGACTGTTGTTGATGGATTGTTTTATAGCAACTGTCATTCTTTAATCCCCACTTTTCCTTCTGCATAATGTTTGCATCTGCCATTTGCCAGGACAATCATAGAGTTAGGAGGGAAAGTTTGTTTTGTGCAAATGGAGATTGATATTTTCCAAGCTATCGAAAACATCTTTGCCTTTTAGATGGCCATTTTTTCTCTCATAAGCCAAATAATTATTCTTAACATCTACTTTATGTTAATATTTGGTGTTATATCTCTTGGTGGGTCATTAAAAACCCCATAATAAATTCTTATCATTCTAGGTTTTTTGTTTTTTTTTATCATTTGGCTTGTTACCAAGAGACTTAGCATTGCCTTAATTCCAAAATCTCTTTTAACATTCTCCTTTTGGCATGAGAGATTTCAGCTGTCAGTTAACAGATCTAACCACAGAGAAATGAGAGCTTCAGCACAAAGAAGTTTCTTCATCCCACATAAATTCCACAGGCTTCTTTTCTTTCCATCCAGAAAAAGAAAAGAGACAAAAATTTTAAGAGTTCATCGCATGTATGTGAGCCACCGTCCTCCGTTGATAGATACGTCTCTCAGTGTTGGCGTGTTACTTTGGTTGGGTCTTTCCTTTGCTCTTAGACAGTGAATTACTTGCGGGGGAGGACCAGGATCTCTTCTAAATTAGATACGATATTTAGCCCTCTGTGGGTGTAATACTTGTGATTTTTTTAAACGAACAATAACAAACCTTTCTAAAAACTACAGTGAATCATGAAAAGGTAGCTAAAATACTATGGTTTTAACAAGATGTTTGTTTTTGTTTACATTTTTAGATTAAGAATTTTTCTGGGTATTTAAAAAATATTGGTAAAGTGTATAAGTATTCATTGCTTGTCAGGAGGGGAAGGTTAGCATGGAATAGTCCATTGCCCCTGGACAGTTCTAAGTGCAGCTGAGAACTCACTGTCAAAATTCATTCTTTCCTAAATGGTCCTTTAATCCTGGAATTCAGATGAGGGTGGTCTCTGAGAATAAGACATTCTGAAAAAATGATTTCCCAGCATTTATAAGCAGACATTTGGAAGCACAATCTATTTACATAACTGCAAAAATATGGAAATGGTGTACAGTGAAGAGCTGTTCCCAGCATCGTTAGCCTAAATAAATCCCCTCTGTCATCAATAAATGAATAAAGCAGTGTCTTACCTCTGGATTCCAGATGAAGATGCAGGTTCAGAAGCATCTAACACTGTAAGAAAACAAGTTTCTTATTAGTGAAGCTCTGAAATTCCAGTAAGATAGTTACAGAATTAAAATATTTCCCTGGTCTAAAACTTGGCTGTATGAAAATAAAAGTCAAAGTTGGGAGGAACAGTCTCATGCTCAGAGATGGGCCACGGGTTAAGCTGTTTCTGCCCCCAGAGTCCTTCAGGTCCCAAGGCCCCCATCACTTACCTCTGGGTTCTTGGTGGAGATGAAGCAGGAGGGCTCCTTCGTGCTTATATAGGGGCTGATGTGCTGATGCTGCAGCTACCTCCTCTTTGTTAGAGCAAGACATTTGGCAGCATGAACCCTCAGAATAATTTGTACTGACATTTGTCACGTTTGGATATAATTAGAAGTATTCATATTATTTTGAGTATGTGAACCAATCTCCTATAAATAACTTGACAGCGACCAATCTGCTGGCAGAGAATACTTTCTAGTGTGCTGGGAAGGTAATCTTTGCCTGGTGGGGCCTCCTAAAAGCTATATTCGTTTTGGCAAACTCTCCTGCACATGCCTGTGGTGACCCAGTGATCACATACTCAGCAACGCATTGCTTTCAGGACCCTATAACCACTTTTCCTTCTTTGGTACCACAGGAACCCCCACCTCCTCCACACCGTTGGGCCACTGCCAAGGCCCCCCCTTGGAGTCTGGGCTCAGGCAGCGGGGCCAAGGTGAGAGGAGATGCTATCCTGAGTCTCTACCGTCGGGTCAGTGCCCATCCACCCAACACTGAAAAAAATGATTATTTATTACAAAATAATATGTATTCATTGTAGGAAAAAATACAGATAAGCAAAGAGAAAAAATATCTATAATCCCAATATGCAGAGGTAAGATATAGACATATAAGTGCATATATGTATAAGATATAGACATATAAGTACATATATGTCTTACAACCTACTTTAAAAATTATATCACAGGTAATTTTCATACCACTAATGAAATTTACACCCTTATTCTTTCTTTTTTAAAATAATTAATTAATTAATTTTGGCTGCGTTGCTGCAGGCAGGCTTTCTCTAATTGCGGCGAGCAAGGGCTACTCTTCGTTGCGGAGCACGGGCTCTAGGTGCGCGGGCCTCACTAGCTGTGGCATGTGGGCTCAGTAGCTGTGGCTCGCGGGCTGTAGCGCACAGGCTCTGTAGCTGTGGCGCATGGGCTTAGCTGTTCCATGGCTTGTGGGATCTTCCCGGACCAGGGCTCGAACCTGTGTGCCCTGCATTGGCAGGCGGATTCTTAACCACTGTGCCACCAGGGAAGTCCCTACACCCTTATTCTTTAAACAAATTATATTATGATCATTCTTTTAAAATTAGAATCTTTTCTTCTTTTAATGGCTAGGGATATTGAGGTAAAATTTATATACAGCAAAATTGACTCTTTTTAGGTGACAGTTATATGAGAGTTTTTCTGCTGCTATTTAAAAAATATTTTTAAATTTACAATAAAATTCACTTCTTTTGTTTTATAGTTCTGTGAGTTTTTGCATGTGTACTCTTTCTTGTAACCACTGGCATAGACAGGATGCAGAACTTCATTTCTGTGAGTTTCGATAAACATGTGCTGTTGTGTAACCTCTTACGTTCTAATTATATGAAAAATTAAAGCCTTGTAGATTAGACTAAAATTAATTGGATTGCATCTAATGTCTCATCAAATAAGATATTTGGTGTATACTTTATATCTGGTTTTCGAATAATTGTAATCATAAATGTTCCATTCGTAGATATAAGGCCAAGAGAATTGAAAACATACGCTTATACAGAAACTTGCACATAAATGTTCATAACAGCATTATCCATAATAGCTAAGTGGAAACAACCCACATGTCCATCAACAGACAAATGAATAAATAAAATGTGGTATATCCATACAGTGGTACATTATTCAGCCATGAAAAGGAGAAAAGTCCTGATACATGATACAACATGGGTGAACCTTGAAAACACTAATGCTAAGTAAACGAAGCTGGATGCAATGTATTCATATTTGAATAACAAGAACAGGCAAATCCACAGAGACAAAAAGTAGATTAGTGGTTGCCAGACAATGGTCTGGAGAGGAGAGATTAGGGAATGACCGCTAATGGGGTTTCTTTTTAAGGTGATGTAGTGGTTATGGTTGCATAACTTTGTGAATCTACTAAAACCACTGAATTGTTCATTCAAATGGTGAATTTTATAGTATGTGAATTATATCTAAAAAAATGCATTGGATTTTACCAGTGTTTTTTCTGTATCTATTGAAATTATATTGTTTTTCTTCTCTCACTTGTTAATATAATGAACTGTGTTAGATTTCCTCACTTTTACTGTTCTGCAATTCATGAAATAAAACCTACTGATGTAATGTTTAATTTCCTGCTGCTTTAAGTTTATGCATTTTTTAAAAAAAATGTGGGATTTCTGCATCTGAGTTCATATGGGACTAGGCCATAGTTGGCTTTTCTTGTGCTATCCTTTTCTGGTTCTGATATAGGATCATGCTAGTTTTGTAAAATGAGTGCCTCCCGTTTGTTTCTGTTTTCTTCAACAGTGTGTTGAGGATGTGAATAATCTGTTCCATGAAGGCTTAGAACAGTTCCTTCAGGAAACTCTTTTTGCCTGTAGCCTCTTTGGAGGAGAAATCTTTCACTCTAATTTAAGTTTTTTCATGACTATTGATTAGTTTGTTCAGAGTTTCTACCTTTTTTTTTTTTGCCCATTTGGAGAATTTATATTTTCCTAGAAAATTGCCCATTTCATGTGGGGTTTTAGATATTTTTGTGCCTATCTTTTTATAGTTAAAAAAACTCCTGTGTAGGCATCTATTCCTTTTAATCTTTTTAACGTATTTTAATTTTTTTCTTTTTATTTTAAACCGTATTTGCCAAAATTTTGTCTTTTGTGTTGGTCTTTTTAATTTAGATTTACCAAATAAGTTTTTTTCTATTTTATTATTTTCTGCTTTTAATCTTATTCATTCCTTTATTTCCTTAGGTTTATTATATTGGTCTTTAATCTAGCATCTTGAACTGAAAGCTAACTTCATTTATTTTCATTCTCTCTTATGATCTTGCATGTTTATTTATGGTTATGAATTTTTCTTTGATTACTACTTTGGCTAAATCCCATGGCTGATATGTAGTACCCTTGTGTGATTGTCCTTCAATTATAATTATTTTAAAGCTTCTATTTCCATTTCAACTCCCAAATTATCTAAAGTATTTTTTTTTTAATTTCCAGATGTATAAATTTGGGCTTTGGGGGGAGGATTCTCTTTTAGCTGATAGTTCTTTTTATCGTGTGTATGTGTGTGTGTGTGTGTGTGTGTGTCTGCGCGCGCGCGCATGCGCAGTTTATTTCCTAGTTTATTTCCTAGTAGGTCCAGTAGGAATGAG